GTTACATGTTACATGTTACAGGTTACAGGTTACATGCTACATGTTACATGTTACAGGTTACAGGTTACATGCTACATGTTACATGTTACATGTTACAGGTTACAGGTTACATGTTACATGCTACATGTTACATGTTACATGTTACAGGTTACAGGTTACATGCTACATGTTACATGTTACATGTTACAGGTTACAGGTTACATGTTAGAACAAACCAACTAATAAAGATGTTTATGATGCAGGACTTCTGTTTCAAGAAAGCTCCATTCATTTTTAATTTAACCAAAAATAGATGAAAAAGCTAAATATTTAAAAAGTATGAACTACTGAAATATCAAAAGTAATTTCTGCTGTGTCCTCGTGAGCTGAACTGTGCAACAACTTATTGTCTAAAGATCTWACAGACATAAAAAGAAACAGGAAATGTTTAATAAGCATTTACACAAAAAAAGATCAAATTAAAATAACTGATGAGTGGATGTAAACTTCTGACAAAAACTATTTAAATTAGGTTTTAATTCATTTAACCATTCATGGATCAATAATAATAATTATTATTAATCAGTAATAAGTCTGATATCAGTTTATCTGTAGCTTTAAAACAGGAAGCTTGAAGCACAGAAACAAACTGAACTTTTTAAATCTGAGTCTTCAAATAATCTGAGTCTTAATCCAGCCCCTCTGCAGGATTACACCATCAGTCGTTCTGCAGTTTGAGTTCAGACTCACCTTGTAGAGGTTCCTCTTGTCCGGCTTGGCATAGTGCACGTACGTGCACGGCCCCAGGGTTCTGTAGCTGMGGTTGGAGAAGCAGCCGGCTGCAGAGCTGCAGCTGGGGGAGGAGTCAGCACACGGCAGGCCTGCTGCTGCCACACAGCAACACAACCATCACACACAACGCACACACAACACTGCAAAACCTCTGAGCCATCAGTCCAAACTGTCCTTAACTCTGGCTCAGACTCACAACTTCTGATTTATTTCTTTARAAGTCTAATAAAGTGAACAGAAGGAGAATCAAAGTTTCAGGCCTRGTTCAGCACAGAAACATCAGGAGCTTCAGAGATTAAAACCTAGGAGGGAAACTGAAACATAAAACAGACAGAGGAAAGTCTGAACTGTTAGACTCAACACAAAGACTTGATGATTCAGGACAGGACCTGCAGCTGATGGAGGCAGAGGTGACTTTATTTTCTCAGGTTTCAGTCAGACTCAGCTCACAGGTGGGAACCAGCTGCTCCAGGTGTGCTGTGAAGGAAGTGACATCATCCAGAGGACCCAGTCTTACCTGACAGGGAGTAGTCTGTGGAGCTGAGGTTCAGAGCTGGGGTGTACGTGACGCTGGGGGCCTGCTGGCCCTTCTCTCTCTGTCGGTACCGGAACCAGACCACCAGAACCAGCATGGCCATGATGAGCAGCAGCAGGAAGACGATGCCCAGGACGGCGCCGGCCGACTGRCGCTCCGAGGCCAGAGCCGGGCTGATCTTTGTGTACGGGTTCAGCTCCTCCATCATCAGAGCCGCTGTGGAGAAACCACAGACCATCATCAGGCTTTTATTCTGAAAGGACACTCCTCATTTCTTCTGCTAATTAAAGACAGCTGTCCAGATGTCTAACCTAACCCCAACAGGTCTAAAAGCCTGGCTAATATCCAGGCTAATACACAGGCTAATATCCAGGCCAATAGTCAGGCTAATATCCAGGCTAATATCCAGGCTAATACACAGGCTAATATCCAGGCTAATATCCAGGCTAATATCCAGGCTAATATTCAGGCTAATATTTAGGCTAAAATCCAGGCTAATATCCAGGCTAATATCCAGGCTAAAATCCAGGATAATATCCAGGCTAATATCCAGGCTAATATTCAGGTTAATATCCAGGCTAATATCCAGGCTAATATCCAGGCTAAAATCCAGGCTAATATCCAAGTTAATATCCACGCTAATATCCAGGCTAATATCCAGGCTAATATCCAGGCTAAAATCCAGGCTAATTTCCAGGCTAATATTCAGGTTAATATCCAGGCTAATATCCAGGCTAATATCCAGGCTAAAATCCAGGCTAAAATTCAGGCTAATATTCAGGCTAATATTCAGGCTAATATTCAGGCTAATATTCAGGCTAATATTCAGGCTAATATT